GCGTGTCCCCACCAGCCCCACGGGTCCCCACGAGCCCCCGGAGCCCCCGGTCGAGGTCGCCGCCAGCCGTGGGGCAGGGGGTGAGCCGGGGGACGCCACGTGTCCCCTCGTGTCCCCACGCCGGATGCTCCAGCCTCAAGCCGTTGCTAACCCCGTTCCAAGCCCCTAAGCCAAAGCCTAACCTTAATGCCGACCTTCAGTTCTTAGCATTAACCCCAGCCCTAGAGTGGATTCTAACCCTAACCTCACCCTCGCACTAACCCTAACATTAACCTTACACTAACCTTAAGTGCTGCAACAGCCTTAACCTTAAGCTTGTCCTTGAGCTCAGGCTCGCTGCTGCAAAGCCAAAGAGCTCCCCAAGACGGCACCTTAGCCCCAACCCTGGCCAGAGTTTCAGGCTTTTTGTCCCCAAATCTGTCCTTAACATTCCCCAGTCCCAGCCTTGAACTTAACCCTCACCCCAGCCAGAGCTTTGATGTTTATATCTTCACATGGCCATAGCCTAAACCATAACCATAACCCCAGCCTTAATCCTCCTGCCTGACCCTAACCATAATCCTAAACCAGCTATAGCCTTAGCCATAACCATAATCCCAGCCTTAATTCTCCTACCTAACCCTAACCATAATCCTAAACCAGCCATAGCCTAAACCATAACCATAACCATAACCCCAGCCTTAATCCTCCTACCTAACCATAATCCTAAACCAGCCATAGCCTAAACCATAAGGATAACCCCAGCCTTTAACCTCCTAGCTAACCCTAACCTTAACCCCAAACCCCAAGCCCAGCCTTATCCCTCAGCCCTGAGCCCAGGACCGCAGCACGATGCCCAGCCCAGAGCTGGCGCCTTGGAGCGCAAGACCAAAGCCGGTCCTAAAGCCGGTCCCAGAGCCGGCTCGGACGGGTCGGACCGGCCCCGGCACCGCCACGGGCGCCGCTTTGAAGGCGCTTGGTGGCGGTGCCGGCCGGCCCGGCTGTCATTAGGAGCCACCGCGAGGGCCGGGGGCACCGAGGGCCAGCGCCAAGGGGACCGACGGGGCACAGGAGGCTGCCTAAAGGGAAGGTGCGGGGGACATTTAACAGGAGGCTCATGGCAACGGCACGCATGGGTGCCACCGGCCCCCGCGACGCCGCTTCGCTCCCTTCTCGTCCCCCTGCTTTTGCCACCGCACTAAGAGGAGCATAAGCTGGGCTTAACCCACCCTGGGCTGGCCCCAAGCTGGGTTTTGCAGCCACGTGGACGGCTCCTTTGGGTGGCCCAGGATTAGGGGCAGAAAACCCCCGGATTGAGCAGGGAGAGGCTGCAAAGCCCAGGTGGGGAATGAAGGGCTGGGAATGGGCACCTGGAATGGCGCGGATGGGCGCTGCCGGACACGGTGCCTCAGGCTGGGCACCGTGGCCGGACGCCCGGGCCCCGCGAGCGGCTCCCGTCCCGGGGCTGCGGATGCGGGCGGCGACTCCGGCTCCGTGCCGCTCGCCGGGGATTTATCCGCTGTGTCCTTCTGGTGGTGTCACCACTGGGGTGTCACCCGGGGACACTGGTGCCGGTGCGGCCCCTGCACTGGGAATGCCCAGTGCAGGGATTGCCCAACGCAGGGATTGATCCCTGAAAGAACCGTCCCATGCAGGAATCGTCCCGTGGAGCGACTGGCCCATGGAGTGGGTTACCCCATGCAGGAATTGCCCCATGCAGAGATTGCTCCATGCAGGAGTTGCCCCACGCAGGAATTGCCCCATGCAGCAGCCCTGCGTTTCGGAGCTGGCGCCGCTGCCCTGCCCACGGCCTCCCGGCGCTCCCGGTGCTCCCGGCGCTCCCGGTGCTGCCCCGTGTCCCCGCTGCCCCCCACTGCCCTGCTGGCACCATCCGTGTCGCCTTGTCCCGCTCCATCCCCGCACTTGTCCCCTCCAACACGAGCCTTTACTCCAGGTTATTCCCAACCCAGGCGGGAGAAGCCCCAGATCCCTGCGGACGCTCTTGTGCAGCAGCCCCGCGGATGCACCACGGAGCGACAAGCTCGGATTAAACTTAGCACCACAAAACGTCATCGTCCTGCCAGGCCGGAGCGATTCCCACCCCGCGGGGAGCGAAACCGCTCTCCCGTTCAGCTGGAGATGGAGGCCTGCACCGTCACATCCCCCTTCCCAGTTTCCATCCTCCTCCTGCTGCATCCCCCTTCCCTGCCTCATCCTCCTCCTTTTGCATCCTCCTTCCCACCTGCATCCTCCTTCTGCTGCATCCTCCTTTCCGGTTGCATCCTGCTCCTTTTGCATCCTCCTTCCTGCCTGCATCCTCCTCCTGTTGCATCCCACTTCCCAGTTGCATTCTCCTCCTGCTGCATCCGCCTTTCCGGTTGCATCCTGCTCCTTTTGCATCCCCCTTCCCAGCTGCATCCTCCTCCTGTTGCACCCCGCTTCCCAGCTGCATTCTCCTCCTGCTGCATCCTCCTTCCTTCCTGCATCCTCTTCCTGCTGCATCCTCCTTCCTTCCTGCATCTTCCTCCTGCTGCATCCTCCTTTCCAGCTGCATCCTGCCCGGACCCGCGAGGAGCAGCCAAGTCTAAAGGCAGCGGCACCGGCGCCGCTAGAGCAGCTCAGCGGGAGCCGAGGAAGAGGAGGAGGAGGAGGAAGAGGACGGTCCCGAAGAGGCTGCCCGGAGGGCAGCGCGAAGGCGGCGCCTCTTGCGACACGGGCGCCCAGACCAGCCCCGGGTAATTAGATCCCGCATCCCATCGGCTTCCTTATCGGGGTGTTCCCGCTCCTGCTTCCACTGCTCCGCTCCGGGCAGGCACCAGAGTGGGTCATCCCGGAGCCGGGACGCCGACTTTGGGAGGAAAACACTCATTTTTGGTACGGCCCGAGCTGAGGGAAGGCCTGGGGGACCAGCACTTGGGAGGCACCAGTTTGGGGGGATGTTTGTTCATCCTGCAGCCTGCGGATGAAGGTGACGTGTGGGGGATGAAGCCATGGATGAAGGTGACACGGTCATCATCATCTGCGTTCAGAGGTGCCTCGGACTGAAGAAATTTCCTTCCCGTTCAACCTTTTGGTCCAGAAGCACCTTCTGGGTCGGGACCGGTCCGACCAACTGTCTGATTGGGCTGTTTTCACCAGATTTCTCCATTAAAATGAGTCATTGCAATGGAGCAGGTCCACGGGTGACCCCAAGGCAGTAGCTCCCGCTCGACAGGATATTCCGATTTATTCCAATTCACCCAAATTGCTGCTTCTCCTTTCCTGACATCACAAGTCCCAATCTCTTCTCCCACCTCCTCCTCTCCCTCCCTGGGGATTCAGCACCTATGGAGGTCCCACTTTGTTCCCGGTCCCTTTCCTTACTGGGCAACACGGCATTCCCAGTGGGAATGGCTGTGTGGGGATGGCCCCATAGGGATACCAAGGCCAGGAATGGTCCTGTGGGGACACTGAGCTAAGAATCACCCCAATGGGACACTGAGGCCAGGAATGGCTCCATAGGGACATCGAGGCTGGGAATGGTCCCATGGGGACATGATGGTGGGAATGGCTCCATGGGGACATCGAGGCTGGGAATGGCCCCCTGGAAACGTCGCGGGGGGGGGTACGGCCCCGCCCACAGCCGCGGCCCCGCCCACAGCCGCGGCCCCGCCCCTCGAGGCCCCTCCCCTCGCGGCCCCGTCCCGTCCGCCAGGCGGCGCCCGCGGGGTCACGTGTGTGTGCGGTGGGGGGCGGTTGCTAGGAGACGGGCGCGCGCATTGTGAGGCGCCATGGCGGCGGCGGCGGCGCGCGCGGGGCAGGTGCGGGGGGGGCTCC